TGTTCCAGGGACAGGTATGAACATGAGGAACATCATAATTTGAAAGGCAGTATGATTTCTCATCAAGCAACAGATTCAAGAAAAAACAGAATATGGTTAATAGGCTCACCTCAATTGTTAAAAAACACTAGGATCAACAGATTTTCCTGTCTAGTGTTGAGTGAATAGCCCTTCTATATCAAGACAATACCCAGGAAAAACATTGCTAGGGAACATTAGGGGAAAAAAACCCAAACTGTAAAACTGTGTGTGTGTGTGTGTGTGTGTGTGTGTGTGCGTGTGTGTGTGTGTGTGTGTGTGTGTGTGTATGCGCACACACTCAGAGACAGCACCAGTCCCTGACTTAAATGTTTAATGTATATGATTGTCCATTGTCAACATGTAAAGAGCATTTTATTTTTTTGCAGTGCAGGACTGCAAACTGAGGGCCTTACACATGCCAGAAATGTTCTTCTGCTGAGCTACACCCCCAGCCCATAAACTTCAGAGCAGGATAGATAATAACCTCATCAAAATGCTCATATCATTCTATCTTTGTGTTTCACTCCCAGCTCTCAGCTAGCTTTTAATCTCCCTGCTCATTATTTTTGTAGATATTGTATTCAGGAGATGTTTAAATTTTAATGTAAAAACCATCTTTTAATTTAAATGTGTCTTATCAAGCTCAGTATTTTATATCAGAGGCAGGATAGCTTAGCAACTAGTTCAATATGAGCTAATCTTACATAGCAAATGGGAACGTAAGATTGAACATGACTAAAATCATCAACATTTAGACTCACATGCAAACGTGATTGTGTCTTCAGGATGCTTTCACCCAGCTTTGCATTAAAAAGGCAAGTATGCCAGTTTCTCCATCTTCAGGGTTCTTTCTCTACCTGAACACAAACCCCATCTTACCGTGTTCTTATGGATGCTAAATTAGAAGTCTATTATAATAAGCACAGGAAATGTAAATTTCAGTGGGGCAGTTGCAGATGCGATGGGAGTTATTAAAAAGTCACTAAGCAATGTGTATATGTACATTCTCTCTGTCTGTAATGTGCACGTGCGCGCTCACACACACACATGCTTATTTATTATGGTAAGGCATTTAATGGAGAGGTGTTGAGAATGAACAGGAAAGCCCGAGGAATCCCCAAAGGCCATTTACTTACCTTGGTTCACCTCGAATTTTATGCATAGTTCTCCTATAATTCAATTTTTAATCACTATTCAAACATCAATTTCATATGACAAGTGTGATAGTGGCCAAATTGGGTCATGTAACTGGTTTCTTTCAAAAGGATATAACAATCAAATCAATCTGTGTCTATGTATATATACCTATTTGATCATATGCATCTACGTGTGTATGTATGTATGTATGTATGTATGTATGTATGTATGTATGCATGTGTCTATCTCATGATTCCTCTGTATAAAAGGAACAGGAAATTTAATCCCTATATTTATAGCACAAAAACCAGACATGGATTATATCACATGGAACTATAAATACAGTGAGTTCAAGACTGAAGAGTGAATGGCCTAAGGATTTCATTCTATCCAGGGCACCTGGAATTCTTCCTTGGGAAAAATGGCATGTGGTAATAAGAATCATGGACACTCACAGACTTTCATTTTCTTCTCTAAGAGTTTTCCAAGAATGTCTTTTCTTCTTAGATCATAATAATTCATAATAGTTCTGAATAATTCTGCAAGCATTGTGTATGACCACTTCCTAGGACAATCATAATAATTCTGAATGACGTGGGCATTGGCTGTGATCATTTCATGACATAGAGGCCTAAATTGAGGCTTGGAGATACTGGGGAGATTTGAAGCCCCCCTGGCCTGGAGACCTTGGGGTCATGGATGGAGCTTCAGATCAGGACTTGCTGGTGAATGAGGATGGCAGATCCCAGCATAGGTGTGGAGCATCATCCAGCCTCCTATTTCTAGATTAATACTTAGACTAAAATGATGTTTCTGGTTTTGTGCTCTTTCCTTCTACGAAGGTAGACCTGACTTACAGCATTAGTCAGCGCAGGAAGAAAAATTAGGCAGGATAACTTTGTTCTGAATAAATATTCTGTTTCTTTGCTGATAATCACTTTTTTTTTGAGTGCCAGTTCTGGGACTTGAACTCAGAGCCTGGGCACCTCAGTGTCTTTGGCTCAAGGCTAGCACTCTACCACTTGAACCACAGCCCACTTCTGGGGTTTTCTGAGTAGTTTATTGGAGATAAGAGTCTCACAGACTTTTTTTTTTTTTTGGCCTGGGCTGGCTTCGAACCATGTCAGTTCTCAGCAACTTGAGTAGTTAGGATTATAGGTGGGAGCCACCCAGTGCTTGGCTTACTTTTGGGCATTGTCCTCAATACTGATTATTACTGTATTAGATATGTCAAATTTCAGATATCAGATGGGTAAGAGAGATGCGGATTTCAGTGTAGCCTGTCTGACTCCTGAACTCATGAGCTTAACCCAATAATATCTGAATAAACTCATGAAATAACTGAAATAACCAAATAATAGTGAAGATGAGATAGTCATTTTTGGTACATTTGCTCACATCTATGAAAAGTATCTCTTAATACACAGATTCTAATTTCCTTATATTTTACTTACTTCATTGCTTCAGTTTAAAACTCATCTGACCTTAATAACCATGGCTCTTTAGTTTTAGTCCTAACTCTGGCTGGTGAATGTGGGCAAAGACTTGGTAGATGGGTTATAGGCGGATGGAAGAGTGAAGCATTGTGGGTGGAGAGGAGGAGACAGGAAGAAAAGTCCTTTAATACTTTCCTTGGATAGTATATTTGGCTACCACCACAAAGCATCTACCATCAGCCTAATCATGGACCCTGCTTGGAGAGAATGTAATTGAGTGCTGCAGAGTTTAACCTTAGAAGCCATATTGCTTGAATTGTGAAGTCAAATTTTGCTCCCTGGCTGTATGACTCAAGGCTTAAAGCATAATAAGCACTCAAAAATAGACTCTTTCTCTCTGTTTATATACAAGATTCATATATTACACATATGTGTATTCAACCAATCATGGATTAAAAATATTCTGAAAAAATGGTGTTCTTACTGAACATGTATGTCACTATTCCCTAATCAATACAATATATTTATATGGTCTTCACATTGTATTAGGTATGATAGGTAATCTAGAGATGACTTAAAGTATATGAGAGGAATTGTGCACGTTGTATACAGATACTATGCCATTTTATATAAGGGACTTGAGCACTTACAGATTTTGGGTATTTCCATCCTGGATCCAATCCCCTGTGGTGACTGCAGAATGACCGCGTGTGAATTCTAAAATTTCAAGCTTTGGATGGGAATAAGTTTAAGACACACAAAAAAATCCAGGATTCCTGAATCACAGATATCTCCTTCTCTTTATTCATTCTTTATTCTTTTCCAGGTTCGGAGGAAATATTTTTCTTGTATGAGCAATGAAATCACATCAAAGCTCTGCACCCCCCGATAGAACTTCATTCATGGAAAAGTATGTTGAGAGTGACCAGAACCACAAAGAAATGACAAGGGTTCATCAGCAGAGATAGGTGTGATGGACATATCCACTGTAACGTGTCCCCAACCTTCCATAAGTGACACCAGAGGGTTGGAGCCTTGGATATGTCTCTGAGACAATGCAAATGAAATGTACCCCATGTGGGGTTGCAAGTGTAAGTCCATTCACATGAACAAGGATTTTACAGAAGAAATAGGTCCAGACAGAAGACAGTAAGGAACAGTTTGGGACGTGAAGAGATAGTATGGTTAAAGTCAAGGAGATATGGATGGATAGGTAGCTGAGACTGGAAAGAGAAGAGTATTGGTGTGGTGCCATTGCGTTTAAATTTGCTAGGCCCTTTGCATAGCTGAGACAGAAGTTGTAGCCACCATCTTATGGCTATAAGTTACCTCTACCATACACAGCTGGCCATAGTGGGTCTTTTCTTTCTTTTTGTGTTGGTTCTAGGGCTTGAACTCATTTTTTGTTAGTTAATTGGAGATAAGAGTCTTGGATGTGTGTGCCCAGTCTGGCTTCAACTTGAGATTCTCAGATCTCAGCCTCCTGAATAGTTAGGATCACAGACATGAGATGTTTGCTCTTGGTTGAAGGAGGCTATTTTTTAATTTTTAAGCGTCATTTTATTGTTATTATCAAGGTGTTATGATTTCACAGTTCAGGTAAGGCATGCATTTCTCTTTTAGACAATGTCACCTTCCTTTGCTTTCCCTCAGTTCCTCCCTCCTGACCCTGTCCACAAGTTGCATAGTTCATTTTCCACATAGTGTATACTGACTATCATGATTTCATTTGTTCACCCTTCATTCTTCCTTTTCTGTGCCCTCTTTAGACCCCACTCAAAAAGCAGAAAAGACAAAAAAAGCACACCATCACCACTAACAACAATATAAATAACCCGTGTTTCCTGGAATTCGTTTTGATAAATAACATTGTATGCCTTGGGGTTCCTCTCCTACTTGTATCCTTATTTGATGTATGAATGCCTAAGAATGTATATGTTCTCATGTCCAGTTCTATTTCAGATCTAGCTTCCACATATAAGAGAAAACACGTGCCATTTGTCTCTTTGATCTTGGCTTACCTTACTTAACATGATTACTTCCAGGTCCATCCATTTCCCTGCAAATAATACAATCTTATTCTTTCTAATACACAAGCAAAATCCCATTGTGTGTATGTACCACATCTTTTGGATCCATTGGTCTACTGTAGGGCTTCTGGGCTGTTTTCATACCTTGGCTATTTGAAGGAGGTTATTTTCAATGAAGGAATTCCTTTCTCTTTTTGGACATACGTGGTGGATGGACCCAGTGAGACAGCGAACATGACTGACATGGCCTTGGGTGGGCGGAGCTTTCATTCTCCATGCTGAACATTGCATGTCTTCTTTCTCTAAAACATAGGTGGAGATAATGTAGATCATGTGCCTCTCCAGCAATGTGGACAATGTATTTCCACAGCCTCACTTAGAAAAACACTTTCTTCTTCTCCATCGCTTTCCACAGGGCCTCCTTGATTTCCTTGTTCCTTAAACTGTAGATGAGAGGGTTCAGCATGGGAATTACCAGAGAATAGAACACAGACACCACCTTGTCCCTGCTGAATGAGTAACTGGAACTGGGTCGCAGGTACATGAAAAGGGCGGTCCCAAACAACAGGGTCACTACCATCAGATGTGAGGCACACGTGCTGAAGGCTTTCCACCGACCTTCCACAGAGTGGATCTTCAGGACAGCGGACACTATGTAGCTGTAGGAGATCAGGAGGATGAGAAATGATGTTCCCCCAACAATGACCACCACGAGGAAATTCACCACTTGACTAAAGAAGGTGTTGGAGCAAGAAAGTGCCAAGACTGGAGGGAGGTCACAGAAAAAGTGGTTGATGACATTTGGTCCACAGAAGTGGAGTCGGAATATGGAGATGGCCTGTATCAGGGAGCTCAGGAAGCCACAGACATATGCCCCAGCTACCATCCGCACACAGACATCCTGGGACATGATGGCCGTATACAGAAGGGGGCTAGAGATGGCTGCATAGCGGTCATAGGCCATGGCTGTCAGGAGGATGCACTCAGTCAGACCCATGCCAACAAAGAAAAAAAACTGGGCAGCGCAGCCTAGGAATGATATAGCCTTCCTCTCTCGGAAGAAGTCAATAAGCATCTTAGGAGCCACGCAAGAAGAGTAACAGATGTCAATGAAGGCTAAGTTGCTGAGGAAGAAGTACATCGGTGTGTGCAGATGGGTGTCACCTCTGATCAGAAAGATGAGAGCCAGATTCCAGGCCAGTGTTACAAGATAGATGCCCAGGAAAGTCACAAAGAGTCCAGCTTGGAGTTCTGGATGATCTGCAAATCCCAGGAAGATGAACACGGTCACTGATGAGCTATTCCAGGCCTTATTCAAAGACAGGTTTCCCATGGATCACAAGGGCCACAGACAGACCTGGGTTGATAATGACAATCCACATTACAATGCTGGGACATAGCTCAGCGGCAAAGCGCTTGCCTAGCAAGTGCCATGTCCTGGGTTTGATGCCCAGTACCAAAAAAGGAAGGACAAAAGCAAACATGTTTTTTTTTTTTTTTAAAAAAAACAACAACAAAAAACCATATTACAAATGCATGAGAGAGAAGGCAGAGGATTCTCTCCCCCCTCCTCCTTTCCTTTTCCTTCCCCTCTCCCTTTCCTATTACCTCTCTTCTCCTCTGTCGCTCAGCAATTACAGTCATGGCCTTGAATATTTGAGCAGCAGATTATAACTGAGAGATTCAGACATTTCAGTATCAACTCATGCCTCCACAGCTCACTGGAAGAGTAGAGAAACTCTGAAACATCCTAGGAATTACCTGTGAGTCGGGCACTGGTGGCTCATGCCTGTAACGTTAGTACTCAGAAGGCTGAGATTCAGAGGATGATAGCTCAGAGACTCCTAGGCAGAAAAGTTTACTAACTCCTTCTTCGAAGTACCCACTAAAACACTTGGCTCAAGTGGTAGAGAAATTATTTAAGGGATCAGGAACTGAATGTAGTTAGAAATATGGGCAGCAGAAGTCATTCTGATAGAGTCTCAGGTGGAAATGAAGAATATCTTATTTGCAATAGGAGTCAAGGTCTTCTTCACAATACAGTTGCAAAGACCATAGCTGAGTTGGGTCTGTGTGCTGGGGTTTTAAGGATGGTGGAACTGAAGAGGGCTGGGCTTGTATGTCTGTCAGGAATTTCTAGGTGCAATATGGAAGAGGCTGCATGGAGGGTAATGGTTTCTTTTCATTGATTGTGCTGAGGAGTTCTGAAAACAAGATTTATCATTAAAAAGGAAGCAGACATAGTATTGAGAAGAAGTTAAATTCACTTAAGACTGCCACTAAAAATATCCTTTGATGATATGCACTGGAAATTTCATAGGAGAACATTAAAAAAATTAAATATTTCTCCACAAGTATCTCTTCTGAGGGAAAAAAGAAGCATTCACTAGATGGATAAGCACTGAACCCTGAATTCCTTTTTTTATTTGTTTGTTTAGAACTTGAAATCAAAAGCTATAAAAAATAAATCTGCTTGAGAAAAAAAATGGAAAAAACCTAAAAAAAGTGGAATACTAAAATTTGGGTAATTTGGATAATTAGCAGGCCAGACATGTGAAGAATAAAAAAAAAAGTTCATATTGTAAACTTGAAGACAAAGCAACAAGTTGCTCATCATCAAGATCATGGGAAAAATTCCCCCCCAAACCCTTCAGAAACTGGGGTAAGAGTGGGGGATTGTTTGTCACCACATATTCAGAGCTCCAGGTGAGCAGAACAGACTCAAGGCTGGTGGAAGGAGGGCCCATTTTCACTGAATAGACTACTTCGAGATTCTGCTCCCATGCATTTGAGTGCAGTGATCATTGGCCACTCCAGCCATAGCTCAAGTGGCCTTTGTTGAAGCTCGGGCCATAGCTCTGGAGGACACAGTCAGTTAGCTTGATGATGCTCACAGGGGCTAATTGCAAGTGTGTGCAGAATGCAAATGCTGGACTGAACTGTCTAGGAGCTCAGGCAGAAATCTGCCATGGGAGCAGAGCTGCTACAGAGAAGCTCTAGCAAAGCAGTGCCCAGTGGAGCCATTGGAGTTGGGTCACTGTCCCCAGCATCTCAGAATTTCAGAGATGATGGCAGCCTGCAGCACAGTCCTGGGAAAGTTGCAGGTACCCTATCCAGGAAAACAGCTCCATGGTCTGAGCCTAGAAATACCATGTGGTCCAACTCTCATTTCCCTGCTTATAGCACATGGAATGAAAGATGGGTGTGGTCTCTGTTTCTCTTGCTCTTCCAGGTCCTTTCTTTTACTCAAACACAAGTGATTGCTGAAACTGTGGGATTCTCTCAAGGAGAGGAGATAATTTAAAAGGAGGCAAGACTTTAATCCAACAACTGAGATTCAGATGGTAAAATTCAAAGCATCTATCAAATAAAAAAAAAAAGAAGAGTCTAGGGAGGTTAAAGATCTTTTCAGGGTTTGGAATTGGAATATGAAATCTATCTAGAGTACAGACCTCCCAAATCATTCTTCAGCCACTAATAGCTGGGGGCTATGGTTAATGGCATAGAAATTCCTTTAGGAATTTTATTCTTTTAGTTCTTTTCCTGGTTGCAAAAGGTCACATATGTTTACGGAGCTCATCAAAGGACAGTACAGCAGACCAAAATTGGTCTATAATTCTAAAATCAGGCTCTTTAATGTCTTACTGTGTGGCATTGCTCAGGTGATCATGATGAGAAAATGTCCATCTTTAGAATGAATTTAGATTTTTTTTTTTTTGGGTCCGATCATGGGCCTGAAATCTGGGCCTGAGCGCTGTCCCTCAGCTCTTCAGCTCAAGGCTAGCACTCTACCAGTTGAGCCATAGCGCCACTTCTGGCTTTTTTTTTTTTTTTTTCTGGTTATGTGGTGCTGAGGAATCAAACTCAGGGCCTCATGCATGCAAGGCAAGCACTCTACCACTGAGCCACCTTCCCAGCCCTGAATTTAGCTTTTAAGAAGACTGTTTTCGCCGGGCACTGGTGGTTCACGCCTGTAATCCTAGCTACTCAAGAGGCTGAGATCTGAGGATCACAGTTCGAAGCAAGCCAGGCAGGAAAGTCTGTGAAACTCTTAGCTCCAATTAACCACCAGAAAACCAAAAGTGGTGCTGTGGCTCAAGTGATATAGAGTGCTCACCTTGAGCTGAAGAGCTCAGGGACAGCACCCAGGCCCAGAGTTCAAGCCCCACGACCGATTAAAAAAAAAAGACTGTTTTCATGTCTGTTTTACCTTAGTCTTCAATAACATGCTGGGTTTGCCTTTCACAGAATTCTGCTGCATTGATAACACATTGATAAAGTTAATATGTCAGTTGATGTTTTTCTGAGTCTTTAATGATCAATTACTTATTAGAGAAAACATGAGTTTTCTTACTAATATGATTCCTTTAAGACATACTATAGAGAAGTGTCCAGTCTTTAAGTATTTAGTTATTAGTGAAACAATGCAAAGGGGAAAACTATTCAACTATTCAAGCAATAAATCAAGAACACAGAATTATCAGAAGTAAAAAAACAGAATTTAGTGTGAATCTTGAATTTCCGTTATATTGAATTTCACTTTTGAACTGGATTAAAAAAGGCTCACATATAGAGAAAATAGGAATAGCATGAGTTTCAGAAGATTTTGCAAAAACCTAAAATCTGTTAGTTTAACAGTGCCACATTCTACTTAAAAACACAAACGCTGATCATGAACACTTCAAAACTAAAAGCTATACGGCGGGCATTCTGAAAAATATATTCCTGAAAAAAAGAGGAGTTTTTGGTCCATGGGAAGATGTCAAGGAATGTTTAATATTTATTGCTAGGGGAAAGAAATGTTTCCTTCTGTTAAAAAAAAAACTAGATTACTATACAATTCCAAATAGTCTGAAAAAGACAACACTAAAGAAATAAAGAGAGCAATGATTGCCAAAACTGAGGGGGAATAAAGGCAGAGGACCCAGGATTGAAACCTTTCTGTATAATACCATAGTGGTGGGAAAATATCATTTTTTATTTGCCTGAACCTGTACAATGCCCAGTGCCAAGAGAGAACCCAACGTAAGCCATGCGCTTTGGTGATACTGCTCTAGCAAAGCAGGTTCAGCAAAGTAGGTTCAGTACCTTGCTCCAGGATGCTGATGGTGGAGAGGATATTCAGGGGGGTATACAGTAAATCTCTCTATCTTCTGCTCAGTGTTGCTATGAACGTGAAGCTGCTGTATAAGTAGAGTCGTTCTTCAAAAAGCACCCTCCCAAAAAACCCCACCCGGATTGGGCTGATGTTGAAGGAAAGGCAGATATAATTGAAAGGTAGAAGGAGAAACACTATACACCAAACAGTCCTTGGCCCTCTACATCCGGTTGCAGGAGGAAGGTACGTCACCAGCGAGATTAATCTTGGTATGATGATAAAAACAAGACATAGAGATGGTACTGACCTTCTCCCTCTTCTGTCTTCACTGATCTGATGCCTTTTGTGAGCTGTCCTACTTTGGTAAGAGTTTAAACAGATTACAGTCGCTGCATCCTGGGTCCATAGTGTTAATGGCTTTGAGATGTTACTTCAACCTGTTTATTCAAGGGTCAAAATGACTACTTGGTGCAGAGAAGGTGTGTTTGTGGATAGAGTGATGGAGGGAATGGAGGGAAGGAGGTACAAAGGGAGGAGAGGGGCTGTAACGCTGGTGTCCACTTGTATCTACATTTGGGGTCCGTTTTGAAGGTGTTTCAAAAGGAGTTGGGAGTACACTTAGGGGAGGGTCCTTTCTTTCCCCTCTTTGGAAATGTTTTCTTACATTGGCCCTAGAAGGTGCTTATGAAAGAGGAAAGCATGCATTTCTTAAACTTCAGGGCTTTGTAGTTAATTGCTCTCCGGGGTTGTCTAGAACACAAACCATTTTAAATGCTTCTATCTCCACGGCCAGGTCTTTCAACCTCCGGAGGCTAATCAAGGTATCTTTTGGCAACACTTGAGGAAGAAACTCATGAGAGTAGAATCTAAGAGCAGGGTGAACAGTCTGTTTAAGCATGGCCAAGACTACCAGCATGTGAATATAAATTTACCAACCTTCTTCCATTCCTTCATGCAACCTGTTTATCTTGAAGTATGTGGAACAGATGAAAACTTATTGAGACTCTCCCCCATGCTCAGCCCTGTAGTTCATGCTTTGAGATGGATTCCAAAATTTACCTCATTGGGATTCTCCACTTCTTAAGAGTACAAAATATGTCAGGTGCTGGTGGCTCACTCCTATAATCTTAGCTACTCAGGAGGCTGAGATCTAACGATTTGCAGTTCATAGCCAGCCTGGGCAGGAAAGAAAGTGATAGTCTTTATTTCTAATTAACCACCAGACAACCAGAAGT